TTTAAGGAATTTAGGGTAATTTTGGTATATATAAAAGAGTTTCCTTATTTGCAAATAAGTTTGAATAAGCCAGAAATATTTGCAAAACAACAAAGTTGGATATCCCTTTTAAATTAAGTGCCTTTGTCATAGTTAGGGGTGAAACTCGGATGGATCGGATCGGAATTAGCATTTTCGGAAAATTTCCAAAAAACTTCGGAAGTACAAAATCAATTCCAATTCCAATTCCAAAATTTTCGGAATCTAAAAATTCATTCCAATTCCAAAAGGCTCGGAATTTCGGAAAAAAAATCGGAAATCGCATAAGCTTTAAAATTTCAAAACTTAGCCGAAATTTTCTAAAATGTTCATAATTTTTCGAAAATAAGAGCATCCACGTCGATAAAAGTAAAATTAATAACTACTAAATTTCAGTTTAAAAAAATAAATAAAAAGAAACACGGCATAATATCCAATAAAACTTCTAACAACAATTCATTATGTCAAAATCCTAAAACAAAACTTATAGGTGTATTTTTCAAAAAATAAGTATTATATAATATATACTATTTATAGGTGTATTTTTCGGAAAAAAATCGGAATTTTTCGGAATTAATTTCGGAATTAAATCGGATCGGAAATCGGAAATTCCAAATTTATTTTGTATAATTCCAATTCCAATCCAAAAAAATCGAAAAATTTCGGAAATCCGAATTTCAGAAGTCGGAATGAAAAAAGTTGTTCCAAAATCGGAACTTTTCGGATCGGAACCGGCGGAAATTGGAAAATCCGTTCCAACTTGCACCCCTAGTCATAGTCTATTTCTCATTTGCCCTATAAAGTATATTGCAAAATTTAAATAATGACTAGGCATGAAAAGAAATTACACAACAAATAAGATGGAAACGTATATGTTGAATCAAACATATAATAATTATTTTATTTAATACAATCATTTACGTGTTAGGAACCATCAGGGCTAGAGGTGAAAGTCGGATGGATTGGATCGGAATTAGTATTTTCAGAAAAATTTTCAAAAATTTTGGAAGTACAAAATCAATTCCAAATCCAATTCCAAAATTTTCGGAATCTAAAAATTCATTCCAATTCCAAAAGGCCCGGAAATTTCGGAATTTCGGAAAAAAATCGGAAATCACATAAGCTTTAAAATTTCAAAACTTAGCCGACATTTTCTAAAATGTCCATAATTTTTCAAAAATAAGAATATCCACGTCGATAAAAGTAAAACTAATTACTACAAAATTTTAGTTAAAAAATAAATAAAAATAAACACAACATAATATCAAATAAAACTTGTAACAACAATTCAATATGTCAAAATCCTAAGAGAAAACTTATAGGTGTATTTTTCGGAAAATAAATATTATATAACATATATTATTTATAGGTGTATTTTTTGGAAAAATATCGGAATTTTTCGGAATTAATTTCGGAATTAAATCGGATCGGAAATCGGAAATTCCAAATTTATTTTATATAATTCCAATTCCAACCCAAAAAAATCGAAAAAATTCGAAAATCGGAATTTCGGAAGTCGGAATAAAAAAAGTTGTTCCAAAATCGGAACTTTTCGGATCGGAACCGGCGGAAATTGGAAATTATGTTCCAACTTGCACCCCTAATCAGGGTGAATCAGGATAGCTAAATAAGTTTAAGTTGAAGTGTACCTAAATGTACATTTAATTAACAATTTACTCCTTGCATTTCATGAAATATTAAAAAAATACCCACATGTTGTACTTAAAAGTAAAAGAGTAAAAGTTAATTATTGGTAGGCATAGAATTCGAACCACATAATAAACCACATAAACTTGCTTGGTCATTGCGTAATCCTCAACAGTTGAACTGCAACCCAGTGTTTATAAAATTATCACGTGTAAGGTTAATTATCCCAAATATCTTTTTTCTTAAATCAAGATTCAAGAGTGAGCAACTAATTTAAATACGACTGTACATTAAAAATGTGTATATTCCGGCATCATACAGGTAGAATTAATAGTTTACCTAAATTTAACTCTTATCGTTAAAACTAAATTTAAAGTGTCTGTCAAAAGGTAAAGTACCTGGTAATTATAACCGGATGTACTGTCGAGGATTTCTTCAATCGCCAAATCTCATATAGTTTAACAAACTTATTTTTATGATTAAAAAGAGTAGTTAAATTTTCATGGGCACTAAAAAAAATATATACATATTAGCATATTTATAATAGGACTACACATATATTATATTCATTGGAGTCTTCAGAGTTCTCTTACGACGATCCGGAACTCTCTTTTTACATTGGAGTATAGGATTACACATATCTACCGGGAGGGCAATACAGTCGCTGATGCATTAGCTAATTTGGGGTGTCAGACCGAGTTGGCTCTTACCTTTACAACAGCGAAGCTTCCCCGACCTATTCAGCAGATGATTCGGATGGACCAGCTTGGATATCCATCCTTTCGACGACAGTCTCGCACATAGGTGCCATGCATTCCACGTTTTTATATTATTGGCAATTTAGGATTTTTCGTGGACTTTACATGTTAGGAAGGGTTGGGGTGATTATGGATTGTTTGGGTCTATCAAGACTAGACTGTTTGCCGAATGGTGCCACACATTTCGCAGGCGTTATACCTGTTTCGCCCATTTTTGGCGAAAATGTAAGTGGCCTCGGCTGTTGTGGTGAGGCGAACGGTCTACCTTGGTCTTCCCCGACCTTCTATGATCATTCCCACCCTGTTCTTTTTATTATTTTGGGCCACCTGTTTTGCCCGTATTCTTAACGTTTTGTTAGTTAGCTATTGTCTTTTGTTTGTCAATTGCTATTATTAGTCATATGTTGGACAGTAGCAACGAGCGAAACTCATTATGTACTTCTTAAATTTTGTTTTATAAACAGATAGGGTGTCAAACCTAACCCATACCCTCATCGGGTGTCGTTCTCTTAAAAATAAAATAAAATTAATAGGACTATATATTAGTACAACGAACAGAAAAGATTTTATAACCATTAAATTTGACTAAATAGCTAAAAGAAGAAATAAATAAAAGAATGGCGAAAATGAATGAAATGACGAGTATAGCCTTACAGCTCACGCAGCGTATCTCAATCATATCTAGGTTTATTGATATTTGTTTAATAAAGGGCCACAACGACTCACAAAAGCCCTTAACGGTAATTGCACAAAGGGTAAATTCGTCATTACAGCACAAAGGCACTAAACACCCGCATCCTTCCAGATGGCGCCACGTGTGGGTACTGTAGCGCCAGTGGTTCATCCAACGGCAGTAACGCCCTCCCAAACAAACACAGAGAAAACACAAAGCCAAGAGAGGGGGATAGACAGCAACAAGGCAGCCAATGGGAAGGCTGAAACGACGAAAACACGGATCGATGACGTGGCAGGAAGAATTTGAAATCCCGCCCAAACCCGCACATCAATATTGAGGGTGTTTCCTTTGAGACCCCTTATCCCTGCCTTTCACATATACCACCTCAACCCACACACTATCAAAGCATAATATCCCTTTGTTATTTCTTCTCTCTCTCTCTCTCTCTCTCTCCACTACCACATCACTCTTCTCTCTCTCTCTCTCTCATTCATTATTGTTAGGTGAGTTCTACGCTGAGTTCGTCTCCGAACCGACCGAGTCGCACCGATTCTCACCGAGTTTTTGGTTTTTATTTGCAGGGGAGCCATGAAAGGAGGCAGATCGAAGACCGAGTCCAAGAAAGCTGATCCTAAGTAGGTTTTTGTTTGTTTTTTTGTTTAGATCTATGATTTTGGTTGTGCAATTAATATGATTTATGGAAAATGAATGAAATAGGCTAGCAGTGAAGAAAGGAGCAGCAGGTGGGAAAAAACCGGTGGTGAAGAAAGGAAAGCCGGTTAAGGACCCAAACAAGCCAAAGAGGCCTGCTAGTGCCTTCTTCGTCTTCATGTATGCTTCTTCTTTTATTTTCTCTAGATTCATGAATATATTTTTTTGACCTTTTCAAATCTCAAATTTATTTATACAGGGAGGACTTCAGGAAAACGTACAAAGAGAAGCACCCAAACAACAAATCAGTCGCCGCTGTGAGTAGTTTTTGCCATATCTCATCAGATCCAATTTTTTTTTTTTTTTTTCTTCAAGTTTGACTTATTTTTCTTCTGTGAAAAATTTCTCAGGTTGGGAAAGCTGGTGGTGACAAGTGGAAATCTCTCACAGAAGCTGTAAGCATCTTTTTTTTTTTTTTTTTTTTTTTTTTGAATTTGTTCTCAAATTAGTTTTATTTATGTAATCTGTTTCAGGAAAAAGCTCCTTACATAGCCAAGGCTGAGAAGCGAAAGGGCGAGTATGAAAAAACCCTTCAGGCTTACAACAAAAAATTGGTAAATTCTCATTTTCTCTACAAAAATCGAAAACAAATCCATTTTATGTTTTTCTATTAATAATCGTCAAAAAATGAATTGGTCAACAGAGCGATGGGCCCACAGAAGAGGAGTCCGACAAGTCAAGGTCGGAAGTGAACGATGACGAAGACGACGATGATGACGAGGACGGCAGCGCCGATGTACTGTTTTATTTTATTTTCTTCCTCAGTTTTACTTTGAATGGATTTGTTATTAATTATTGTTTGTTGGTGCGAATTTGCAGGATGATGATGACGACGACGACGAGTGAAGATGAAAAATGGAAGCTTATGAAATTATGTAATCCATCCCCTCGCAACTATGTTTACCCTTTTATGATGATAAATAGTTTCCCTTCCTTTTGTTTAATGGTATATCTTTTTTTTTTCTTTTTGTAATGGGTATTTTCTGGAGTAGGAAAAAAAGAAATGAAAAATAGTCTGCTGCTGTGATGGGATTGTTGTTTATGTACTCTACTAGTTTATCTTCTAAACATATTTTCCTTTCTCTAATCATAATCATCTTCATCTTCTAAAGATATCTTCCTTTTCTCTTTGTTGTATGGATCTAAATCTAATCACGTGGAGAATGATACTTTAGTACTAGTAGTTGGTATTGCGTGATTTCTGAGATGATCTGGTTTCACACCAATTTTATTGTTTGTTTCTTTTGCTGTCAAATGTCAATCATACATTATATTTTCATTTTATTCAAATTTCAGAAATCGCCTATAGACCGACCATCTCCACATAACATTAACAACTTTATTGCTTAATTAAAAGTAAACCCTATCATAGGATGCTTATTCAATAATGTATTATAAATATCTCTAGCTACATGTACTTGTGAGAGCTTATTCGTTAAGAAATATGTCTACAAATAAGAAAACATAATTGTGAATAAATTCTCAAATTTTATTCGCTATTGTTATTTATGCATTTTATTAGTATAAGTGATGCATTTTATTGTCAACTATGTAAAAAAAAAGAAACTTAAAAATACAAATAAGTAAATAAATGATAATATTGTATATTACTTATTTTGTTAGTAATGTAATTTTAATGTCAAGGATCTTATTTTATTTTTATTTCTTCATTTTTTTCCTTCTCTCTTTTTAAAAGGAGGATAGTTATTGCTTCCTGCTTCCCCAATTCCCTTTTTAGTGTCTTGAATTTTTATGCAAAGAGGTCGTTTTTCTCGACTTACTTAGCTTTTTGTAGTTTTCGTAGCTCGTTTGGAACCATATCCTAAGGAAAACGGCTCGAAAAACAAAACTCATAACCTATGGTCATGAATCGCGTCAGATTTCGGTGATTCGACGTCGTTTCGACTCATAAAAATCTAATTTTCTATTTTAGAAAAATCATATCAATTCACAGAAACATGTGATGATGATTCCGTCAGTGCTACTTCTTAAATTGCGACATCTACTTGAATTAGGTTTTAACTCATTTTCGCATTTTTCTGCAAAATGGTCATTCTTGCCAACTTATTTAGGTTTTTTGAGTTTTAATAACACATTTGCAACCCTATCCCAAGGAAAACAGGCCTAATTACAAAACTTTATGACCTATTGCCATGAGTCGCGTCAAATTTCGGTGATCCAACGTCGTTTCGACTTAAAACAAAAAAAATCAAATTTTACTATTTTCGGAAATTCTTAGAAAATTCATAACAATTCATAGAAACACATGATAATGATTCCCTCAGTTGTGTAACTTCTAAAATTGCGAGGTCTATTAGGATTAGGTTTTATTTCATTTTCGCATTTTTCTGCAAAAAATGTCGTTTTTGCCGACTTATTTAGGATTTTTTAGTTTCCATAGCACGTTTGCAACCCTATGACAAGGAAAACGGCCCGAAGAACATAACTCACGACCAATGGTCATGAATCGCGTCAAATTTTGGTGATCCGACGTCGTTGCGACTCTAAAAAAACAAAAATTAAATTTTACTATTTTAGGAAATTATTTGAAAACTCATATCAATTCATAGAAACATCAGGTGAGGATTCCGTCAGTTGGGTTACTTCTAAAATTGCGAGATCTATTAGGATTATGCTTTTAACTCATTTTCGCATTTTTCTGTAAAATGGTCGTTTTTGCCGACTTATTAAGGTTTTTTAGTTTTAATAACACATTTGCAACCCTATCCCAAGCAAAACGCCTGAAGAACAAAACTTTATGATATATTGTTATGAATCGTGTCAAATTTCGGTGATCCGACGTCGTTTTGACTCATAAAAAACAAATTTTGCTATTTTAAGAAATTCTTTGAAAGTTCATATCAATTCATAGAAACATCAGATGATGACTCCGTCAGTTGTACTAGTTCTAAAATTGCGAGATATATTCGAATTAGGTTTTAACTTATTTTCGCGTTTTTCTGCAAAATGGTCGTTTTTGCTAATTTATTTAGGTTTTTTTTGAGTTTTAATAGCACATTTGCAACCCCATCCCAAGCAAAACGGCCCGATAAACAAAACTTAATGATGTATGGTCATGAATCGCGTCAAATTTTGGTGATCCGACGTCGTTTCGAATCATAAAAATCAAATTTTACTATTTTAGGAAATTCTTAGAAAATTCATAACAATTCATAGAAACATCAAATGAGGACTCCGTCAGTTGTACTACATCTAAAATTGCGAGATCTATTAGGATTAGGTTTTAATTCTTTTTCGCATTTTTCTGCAAAATGGTCTATATTTTCCTACTTATTTCGGTTTTTTGAGTTTTAATAGCACATTTGCAACCCTATCCCAAGGAAAATGTCCCGCAAAACAAAACTCATGACCAGTGGTCATCAATCGCGTAAAATTTCGGTGATCCGACGTCGTTTCGACTCATAAAAATATAATTTTACTATTTTAGGAAATTCTTAGAAAATTCATAACAATTCATAGAAATATCAGATGAGGATTCCGTCAGTTGGGTTACTTCTAAAATTACGAGATCTATTAGGATTAGGTTTTAAATCATTTTTCGCATTTTTCTGCAACTAGTCGTTTTTGCCGACTTATTTAGGGATTTTTTTAGTTTCTATAGCATGTTTGCAACCCTATCCCAAGGTAAACGGCCCGAAGAACAATCCTCATGACATGTGGTCATGAATCGCGTCAAATTTCAGTGCTCCGACATCGTTTCGGCTCATGAAAATCATATTTTACTATTTTAGGAAATCCTTAGAAAATTCATAACATTTCATAGAAACATCAGTTGAGTATTCCGTCAGTTGCATTACTTCTAAATTTACGAGATCTATTAGGATTAAGTTTTAAATCATTTTCACTTTTTTTTGCAAAATCGTCGTTTTTGCCGATTATTTAGGTTTTTATGAGTTTTATTAGCAAGTTTGCAACCCAATCCTAAGGAAAACGGCCTGTCGAACCAACTCATGACTTAATGTCATGATTCGCGTCGGATTTCGGTGATCCGACGTCGTTTGGACTCATAAAAATCAAATTTTACTATTTTAGGAAATTCTTAGAAAATAGAAACATCAGAAAAGGATTACGTCAGTTGTGTTACATCTATTGCGAGGTCTACTAGGATTAGGCTTTAACTCATTTTCGCATTTTTCTGCAAAATGGTCGTTTTTGCCGACTTATTTAGGGTTTTTTTAGTTTCCATAGCACATTTGCAACCTTATCCCAATGAAAACGGCCCGAAGAACAAAACTCATGACTTATGTTCATGAATCACGTCAAATTTCAATGATCCGACGTCGTTACGATTCTTAAAAATCCAATTTTACTATTATAGAAATTCTTAGAAAATTCATAACAATTCATAGAAACATCAAATGAGGATTCCGTCAGTTGTGTTACTTCTAAAATTGCGAGATCTGTAAGGATTACATTATAACATATTTTCGCATTTTTCAGCAAAATTTTCATTTTTGCCGTCATATTTAGGTTTTTTGAATTTTATTAGTAAGTTTGCAACCCGACCTTAAGGAAAACGACATAACGAACCAAACTCATGACTTATGGTCATGAATCGCGTCGGATTCCGGTGATCCAACCTCATTTCGACTCATAAAAATCAAATTTTACTATTTTAGGAAATTCCTAGAAAATTCATAACAATTCACAAACACATCAGATGAGGATTTCGTCAGTTGTATTACTTTTAAAATTGCGAGATCTATTAAGATTAAGTTTCAACTCATTTTCGCATTTTTCAGGAAAATGGTCGTTTTTGTCGACTTATTTAGGCCTTTTGAGTTTTATTTATAATATAATTTTGCAACCATATCCCAATGAAAACGGTCATAAGAACAAAACTCATGACCTGTGGTCATGAATTGCATCGAATTTCGATTATCCGATGTCGTTTCGACTCATAAAAATAAAATTTTACTATTTTAAAAAATTCTTAGAAAATTTATAACAATTCATAGAAACATCAGATGAGGTTTCCGTAAGTTGTGTTACTTTAGAAATTGAGAGATCTATTTGGGTTAGGTTTAACACATTTTCACATTTTTATGAAAAATGGTCGTTTTTCCCGACCTATTTAGTTTCCATAGAACATTTGCAACCCTATCCCAAGGAAAATGTCCTGAAAAACAAAACTCATGACCAATGATAATGGGTCGCGTCAGATTTCGGTGACCCAACATTGTTTCGACTCATAAAAATCAAATTTTATTATTTTAGGAAATTATTAGAAAATTCATAACAATTCATAGAAACATCAGATAATGATTCCGTCTCGTGTTACTTCTAAAATTGCAAGGTCTATTAGGATTAGGTTTTAACTCATTTTCGCATTTTTTCTGCAAAATGGTCGTTTTTGGCGACTTATTTAGGGTTTTTGAGTTTGAATAGCACGTTCGCAACCCTATCACTTAGAAAACGGCACGAAGAACAAAACTTTATGACCTATATTCATAAATCGCATCAACTTTCGGTGATCCGACGTCGTTTCGACTCATAAAAATCAAATTTTACTATTTTAGAAAATTCTTAGAAACTTCATAACAATTTATAGAAACATCAGATAAGGATTCCGCCAGTTGTGTTGCTTCTAAAATTGCGAGGGCTATTAGGATTTGGTTTTAACTCATTTTCGCATTTTTCTGTAAAATGGTCGTTTTTGCTGACTTATTTAGGTTTTTTGAGTTTTATTAGCAAGTTTGCAACCCATTCCTACGGAAAACAGCCCGGAGAACTAAACTCATCACCTATGGTCATGAATCGCGTCAGATTTCGGTGATCCAACGTCATTTCGATTCATAAAAAAACGAAACACAAACTACACCGAAAAAACGCACTACACCGAAAACACACTAAGAACAAAACACAAACTGCACCGAAAACACGCACTAAAAAAACACTACACTGTAAGACACAAACTTAAAAAAACACGCATTACATCGAAAACACACACTAAAAACAAAACCCACACTACACCGTAAACACACACTAAAAACAAAAAACACACACTAACAACAAAACACACACTAACAACAAAACATAGTAACATACACTATGAAAGCGCACTGTAAATACGTATTTCGAGCTTATAAATAAATAAACCGGAAATAAGGTACAAAATAGAGTTTTATTGATTTAACTAAAAAATTGGGTTACAATCTCTATTTAAAGTCCCCCGATTCTTCTCCTCGAGAGTGGTAATCTTGAAAATTTTAATATCCGAGGTGTAATCGCCTTTTGATCTCCTCCAAATATTAATTAGTAAATAAATAACGTTAATTCGAGGGTTTCGTAACTTATCCTCGAATCAAACGTTAAAGCTTTAAACAACGTGCAACGAACACCTTTGTAAGATTTGATGGAATTAATGCTTTCGATTTCTTCCGTCAGGGGTTTGTACTTCAATAACGTTAATTCGAGAATTTTGCGTATAATCTCGAATTAAAAATATATTTATTGAAGAACATGTAACAAACTTCTTAGTGTGCTCCGGTGGACTTTAATACTTGATCCTCCGAATGTGTACTATCGGATTTCAATAACGTTAATTCGAGGGTTTTATACCGTAATCCCGAATTAAACGCTATGAATGTTGCCTAGAACACCGTAGAACTTTTATGAATTCGTAGAGAGCATTTGTATATTCTCTCTTGTAATTCTTGAAATCCTCGTGATTGTCTTCTTCTTAAGCTTCTACACATGACCCCTATTTATACCTGTAGGGTGAAGACTTTTCCATAATTACTTGACGAGGTGGCAAATTATGATTGGCCCTTCATGATTTGATTAGTATTAATTTCATCAATAAAGATATAGTTATTAATACGAAATATATATTTATTTCTTTCTATAATAACCTAGATATGATTTTGGTTACCATATATCCAATTTTGAGGGAGAGGGTATTTCCATCGAGGACGAGTACTTCCATCGACGATGTCCGACTGCAACTATAAAAGGGTGGTCAAGACCCTACACCAACTCATAAAAATTCCAGAATATTCATCCTCCGTTTTTTTTTCTTATTGTTATCTCGATTTCGTTTGAGACTTGAACTGGTAAGGATTTCGAATGTTAACATCGACAGTAACTCTTCACTCTTATATTGCCCACCAGGTGTTCGTTAATATGCCCCAAAGAAAGAATTATATCTTCTCTACCTTGGAATCTCCTTTTGCTCTTTAATCTATCTATTTTTTTTTCGTAGGTACAATATTCAAGGTTTCACCAGGAAGGCTTGAGTAAGTTCCAGAATTTGTAGATATTCAGAACAGTAGGTATATGTTCATAACACCGTTTTTTTTTTTTTTTTTTTATTTTTTTTTTTTTCACTTATTTGTTCCCTCCGTTCGGACTTTGACAGACAGGTCATGGCGTACTTTAAAGACACACGTTCTCCCCTCGGTGTCGAACAGTTGGTGGTACTTGACGACGAACGCCAACCACTAGATAAAGGCACTACTATGGTGGTTCATACTTCTTTAATCGGTAGATATCCAATGCAATGGCCCCGATTGACCAGTACGTATAATATAAACGAATGGACTCACGAAGTCTCTTTGAGCAAAACTCTGAAGGTGTGGACCTTACAAACGTCCCATCACAAATATTCGGATGAAATTGTTCATTTACCGACGTTGGGCAACAACATCATCAAGGGCAAGGCTATGTGGGGAGAGTCTCTTCAGTTTACTGGTGAATTTCATTACACAGCAGGGTATTGGGAATGGACTGAAGATGTACTTAGCAGGTGCGAGAGTAAGTTAATTAGCGCGCAAATATATGACTCGGTGTATGCGTCCCTGTTTACATATGATCGAAATTCCGAGATCATTAAGGTGTTTTGCGAAGCCTGGTGCCCGATTACAAATACTCTTTTGACGTCTCTTGGTGAACTATCCTTGTCATTATGGGACTTAAATACTCTCGCAGGTCTTCCTTTGACCGGACTTCTTTACGACGAAGTCATCCCTTGTGCCGAAGAGCTTTGTGGCATTGATGCAACCGGATCCAGGTATATGCCTCGTACTTGCAAACATTTGCTCCATGTTTACCATTTACTTCGAAAGAAAGCTGACGACAACTCCCAAGTCTCAATCGAGAAATGGATCAAATTTTGGTCTAAGAAGCAACTGAAGTATCATCAGCCTCCTCTTCGTAAGGAGAGAAAAAAAGTTCGTCCAAAATCTACGCATAATCCTCTTGGCAGCTTTGATGCTCATGATGAATGGGATACAGCGGAGAGAGAGTTATTCTCGAAGCTCAAAATTGGCAATGATTTAAGAACTGAAACGTATTTATCAGCATTTCTTGCTTGTTGGCTCTGCACTTTTGTTCTTCCGACTGATAGCCCCGACACAATACGTCCGTCTACTTTCAAGATGGCTAGCCTGATGGCGAGTGGTCGTAAAGTGGGTTTGGCCGTCCCTGTCTTAGCGAGCATATACAAAGGGTTTAAATAAAATCTCAATTTCTCCGAGACCAACTCGCGTAAGTTCCCCATTTCCCATCCACTTTGTCTATGGCTGGTTGGCACATTACTTCAAAACTCATTATCCGGTTTGGCAAGGAGTGCGTGACCCTAAAATGATGACTTACTCTGGCGAGGGTGGTGCGAAATATTATGACCCAAAAGAATCACGCAAGCGGATTCACAAAGGAGATTTCGCATCTCGGACTTGTACTATGATCACCAAAAGCAAAGATTTTTTGTATGTTGATAATGCCAACGGTGATGAGTTAGAACAAAATTATTTCATTGCGATTCGTTCGAACTATCTCCCTCTACTTTGAGGCGAAGAATTTATTATCGAGCCTTACAGTCCGCATCGATTTAGTCGTTAGTTTGGCTACTACCAGGATGTCCCCGGTGTTCTTATGCGAGATATACGCAGAGTTTCTTTAGAAGAAGGACTCCGACATTGGCGTTTATGCATTTTATCTAAATCCATGTCTAGAGCGTGGTTTTCTTCTATGCCTCCGAATGCGAAACGATTTGCCTCAGAAGACCACAAAAAATGGTGGACTAATACCTTTGGTAGCTATCTTGATAATAATATCGCGAAGCTGATTAATGTGGACGAGAACAAGCCCGTGTCGAAAGAAAAACTTTCCGATATAGAAGATAGTCTACCAACTCCATCTGACGTGGCAGCCCGAACCACAACACCTCTTGCATGAAGCAAAATTAATTCTCGCCCATTGGAAGAAAGTGGTAGTAGTAATGTAGACCATCATTGGAAGCGATCGAAGAAGGATCCTCAACCTTCAGAACTTGGAACTATTGACAATGCAGTCACCAGCCCTCTGCAGACAGTGGATACTCAAGTTAATGAGGTAACTATTTTTTTTTTTTTTTTTTTTTTTTTTTTTTTTTTTTTTGTATAAGCCCATATTTTCTATTGCAGTTAGAAAATGAGGCCATGAACGTTGTCGATGTCGATGGATCACAAGATAGTCCAAAGTCAATAATAGGTCCCAACTCGATTACGACAACTCTTTCGGTCGAAGCATTGACACGTAGACCTCCATCTAAGGTGGCCATCGCTGCAGAAAGGCCATGTCCTGCTGCTGTTTCCGTATTTGAAGGCGATAAATTCGTTCTTACTCACGAGAAGGAGTTTCTTCGAAAATTATGGGGGGATCTTCGCATCAAGATAATCAATACCCCCGTTGAGTTCATTTCATCTATTCAAGATAATGTGGAAATCGTGCTCCAATCAATGAAGCGTTTTAGTGATTTTGACATTACTCACGTGGAGGGATTAGTGAGAACATTATTCGAAAATGCAGCAGCCTATGATGAAGCAAGGTCTATGACGTCAGAGAAAGCACCTGAATAGCTTCTTGCACGACAATTTGACGAGGTTAAAGATCGTCTTCTTGGTGCCCAGACTAGAGAGAACAAAGAAAACGCTCAAGTTCGAGCCACAAAAAATGAATTGGAGGGCATCCAAAAGCAGCTATATGCGATAAAAGGACAAAAGAAGAAGTTGTCTTCATCACTGAAGCGACAACAAGAATCTCTTAACAAAGACATCTTTGTATTCACTTAAAACCTCAAGATATTGTTGTTCCTCTTCAAGACTCAAAAGCTCACTTACGAATATTGGACGATGGTCTTCCATTGTGCCTAGGTTTAATTCCTTCAACTCATCAACGGTGGCTTGCCCTCCATCCTCAAGTTGTAGAGGCGCTTCTGGTATTTCATTTTCGGAAACTTCTTCGTGGTCGTCAACAATACTTGCATAATGAGTGTTGATCGTAACTTCGACTTCGTGTTCACTTTGATCGCCATTTTGTTCCGAAGCATGGTGCTTGATGATGCGTCGTTTCACTTTTACCGCTCCATTCATGGCAATGACTAGGAGCGGCTGATTATCTTCATGCGTTCGAAGTGCTTGACGGCCTTGAAATTCATCCATGGATTCGAACACATGTATCTCATCCTCACGAACCCTCTTCCCTTGTTGGTTTCGATTTTGCTCTCCAAGTCGTGAGAATACAGAACGATCCTTCACATATAGTCTACCATGAACAGTTGAAGTGTTATTTGAAGGACCAAGTCTTTCAAAGATAGAAGATCGGATTATAGGTGCACTGATTCTGTAAAAAACAGAGACACGATCCTCACTTTTCTTTTGATTATTCTTGTTCACGACACTAATGCATTGGACACCAACACATTTCTCCTTTTTTCCTATACGTATCCTAACCGGTTGTTGAGGAATAAATCCCAAACCAGTCTTAGGTTGATCAACGTGGAATCTTTGTCCTCTTAAAGCTCGTTGCACATCATTGAGTCCATGTATCTTTTCCCCAGTTAACTCAGGTTTTAATTCACCTAGACGAGATGGATTAGAGGAGTTGTAACTGGATTTCTCCAAGAGATTGTATGCTTTCGGGTCGTATGTCCCGCTAGCCTGTTGATGTTGGAGTGCAACACGAGACATCTTCTCTTCAGCTACTGGGCTTAAGCCAGTAATGGGAATAATCAATTCCTTCTTCACAAGTTGGCAATTGCCTACCTCAATATCTTTTGGTCGTTCTTGTCCATTTTCCAACAGCGTAGTGCATTTACTGAACACAACCCGCCTTTCTTGGTGCGATCGAGGAACGTATCGAAATACTGGCAAGCTCAACTTCCCGCTAGACTTATCATTTTTGTTTTTCGGAGTTTCAGCTGAAGTTTTTAATTCTTCGGACTTTTTGAAACTAATCCCTGTTGGTACAAGTTCGAGACAATTTCCATTAGCGGACTGATATGTTGGGGTTTCCAAAGCCAACATTTCGTGCGTCAAGCTCGACTCTAAATATAGTTTAGCATCTGCAAAGTGTGACTCCGCCTCAGTGAATGGCTTCGCATTAGCATTGACTTTTACTATTTCTGCATTCCTCGAGTATTTGAAGCATTGATGAAGGGTGGATGGAACTATTCCATTTTCATGGATCCATGGCCTTCCCATTAACAAGTGATAAGACGTCCTTGCGTCGATCACATGGAATAGTGTACTCGACGTTAATTCTCCAATGGTGAGGTCCAAACGGACCATCCCAATAGCTCGTTGCCCTTCTTGGTTGAAGCCTTGAATAGTCAGACGACTGCGAGACAAATCATCGACTGCAATTCCCAATTGCTTCATAGTAGATTTTGGCAATATACTGACCGCGGAGCCTCCATCGATAAGTATGCGGTCAATCTTCTGCTCACGTATGAATCCCGAGACAAATAATGGTCGATTATGAGGTTTTGACCCTAGTAACAGATCGTCATCCGCGAAAGTCATAGCCGCACAACAAGGGATATATAGCCGAGTCTCGTCCTCATCTGAAGTTGTGCGTTCTTTCTCATTTTCTGGTAAGAAGAATTCCTTTGGAAAGAACTCTTGCAAAGTCACAGGTTTAGGAACCGGATTTCTAAGAGATTTCTTTGAAAGGCCACTACTCGGCTTAGAGTCTCTGTTTGACTTGATGCGATGAACGTACTTAGCTAGATGTGGTTTCCGTGATGGCAACACATGAAATTTGTCAACGCATCTCCTTTGTCTATGCCGAAGTGTCACGAGAATCCATTCCCCCTCATCCTCTATAGCGGAATCTTCACTACATATGACTTCTTCCTCAGAAAACAAAGCCTTTATCAATTGAGGTTCCAGACTTCCAAATTGAAATGCGGACATTGTTTTCATAGTTGCGGGGAGATCTTTTCGCGTATTCCATGCGGGACATATGTTGCTTGAGAGTGGAACGACACTTGCAACATTTGAGTTGACAACATCTTCAGTGTCTATTATTATTTTGCCATCTCTTGCAAGTCCCATGATCTTTTCCTTAACCACGAAACACTTCTCTATGGGATGACCAACCACTCGATGATATTTACAATACTTTGGATCGTCCATTTTTTCCACCTCATCTGGGCGCTTTGGCTCCGGCAACTCAATTAATTTTCTTGTTAGCAGCTCATCAAAGATGTTGCGACGTCGGAGTCTGGAAATGGGTACTCTTTCTCTTGCATTTCTTTCAACGTAGGTCGACGCCTATCACTTGCCATTCGTTGCTCCCCAGTTTTCTCGTTCTTATCCTTAGAAAGGATTTTCTCACCAATTGTTTTAATTGCCATCGATTCCTTTGTGGAGGGTCTACTGAACTTATCGTTTCTCTTAAAATCTTTCTTTTCTCCCTTTTGACCATCCATTGGGGAGGTACTCTTATGATTCGCAATGCTCAACTCCATATCATGGGCACGGGTAGCCAATTCTTCAAAATTCCGGGGCTTAATTCCTTGTAAAATGTAGAGAAGTCCCCAATGCATTCCTTGGACGCACATTTCGATTGCCGACACTTCTGACAGCTTATCCTTGCAATTCAGACTCAGCGCACGCCAACGGTTAATGTAGTCAACAACTGGTTCATCTTTCCATTGTTTTGCATTAGTAAGTTCTATCATGCTGACCGTACGCCGGGTGCTGTACGTAGAAGCGGTTCAAAAACTCATATTCCATCTCTAGGTCAACGTACCAATCAAAAGCATTGCCTTTAAGTGATCTCACGAATTTCTTCACCAAGAGATCCCCGTATGTTCCTGCATTGTTGCAGGTTTCTATGAAATGGACAATATGTTGCTTCGGATTGCCCTTCCCGTCGAACTGTTGGAGTTTTGGGGGTTGATATCCCATCGGCATTCTCAATGCATCAACCCTCTTGGTGTATGGCTTTGAATACATGAGCGAACCTTGAGATGTTCCGCCATATTGTGCTTTAATAGTGTTAGCAATCATTTCTTGCAATTGTTGGACACAGAGTGTGGCAACAGACGTTGCGGAGTGAGAGGTTTTTTTCATGAGATCATGGACGGCTTCCGTTTCTTTTTCTTTTTCAATGCGACGGGAAGAAGATTCATTATGAGGGCTTTATTCCCCAACATTCGTTTGCTCTAACTTGTCCATTAATTGAGCAATTTGCAAGTCCTTGTCCTCAACTATTTTTTGAAGATTAGCTACTGTTTGGGACATTTGAGCCAATTGTTCATCCACTGTAGTCGCATCGACCACCATAGCAGGTAGAGTGGTAAAGGCATGAGACTTGTAATCAATCTCTGTCAGACTTGATGAATTAGACCCATCGGACGAAGAACCCAAGATTTTGCCTCCGGCAGATGATTGATTAACATTGACCTCAATGTCAGTAATCTTTTGAAGCAAATGATTTTGATTCCTCTTTGGAGCCATCGGATAAAACGTAATTTCAACTTGACGCAGGAGAAAGAGATGAGAGGTAGAGATGTCCCACTGGGCGTGCCAATTTGTAAACACGTATTTCGAGCTTATAAATAAATAAACCGGAAATAAGGTACAAAATAGAGTTTTATTGATTTAACTAAAAAATTGGGTTACAATCTCTATTTAAAGTCCCCTGATTCTTTTCCTCGAGAGTGGTAATCTTGGAATTTTAATATCCGAGGTGTAATCGCCTTTTGATCTCCTCCAAATATTAATTAGT